CCTCCACACCCGGCGTGGGAGGCCGGAGGGACGCCAGCTCCAGCAGTGGGAACCGAGGCTTTCCAGACCCGCCAAACCTGCTCCCCGCACCTCGGAGGGCCAGCAACACCCTGTCCTAAGCCCTGGGGTCAGCCTAACCAGCCAGGGCAGGTCTGGCTCACATGCCTGGGATCACAGTCACCAGCCGGTCTGCCCACCACCGGTGTCCCCTCGGTGGCACAGAGCTGGCTGTGCCCCTGGAGAATGCATCACCAGCTCCGAGACTGCTGTTTGCGGGATCTGGGCATTTGAATCATCAGCAGAGGTATTCTGGGTCAGAAAGTCAGATTTTGTACATCTCAGGCGGGCATATCCCAATTCAGGGATAAAAAGCAGCAGTGCAAAGTCATCACGCCAGCTGGAAAAAGCCCGAGGCGGGTGGAGGAGGCACAGCGTGGGAGCTCTGTGGGGTGAAGATGCCTGGATGCGAGCAGACTGACCTGTTCTGCCGCTCACCACCTCACCCCCATGGCATGAGGCACCATTTCTCTCCAGTCACTGCCTTTTGGCCGCTGGGAACAGGCAGGCCAGCAGCCTCTCCCGGCTCTGGCCAGGGATTAGCAGGATGGGGATGAGGACTGAGTGATCCCTCATCCCTCTTAGTCACACCAGCAGGGAGGAGCCGAGGTGCAGAGCACAGCCCGTACCCAGCACCACGAGTTTCACCCACCGGCACCGTGCCGGGTGTCAGGCACAACCACCAGCACCTCATTCCCAGGGCACCACAGCCCTGCCTCCACACCTGCGCGCTCTCGGCTCCCTTTGCAGAGCTGGGCTGATGGCTGGGGAGGGATGCAGGGCAGAGGACGAGCAGCAGCAGCGCCGGCAGCCGGCTGAAGCCAGGCAGTATTTTGGTGGCAGCCCTGCCGCTCCCTCCCAGGCTGATGTCATGCTTTAGTAACTTTGAGGCAGAGTCACATGGCAGCTTCTGAGGTCAGCGGCTGGGGTGGCTTTGTCTGCCTTCCTTGTGCCTTGCCCCGGGCTCCTGCCCGCTCCCGGAGCGGCCCCGCTGGCGGTGACCCCGCCGGGGCTGCCCTGGGAGCCCGGCAACCTCCGGATCGCCACGGCTCGGCATTCCCGGGATTCCCACAGCATCCCGGAGAGCTGGATACACCCGCTGTCCTTCCCTGTGCCCGCGGGAGGGACACTGCCCCCATCCCTGCGGCTCGGGGGGGACACAGGAGGAGGAGGAGGAGGAGGAGGGAAAGGGTGTGACCGGGCGCTCTAATCTCCTCATGTGATCCAACGGGGCTGGAAGGGGCTTGACGAACAATTAACAATCCTCCGGCTCAGCTGCTGTTTCCCGAAATAGCTCTGGCAGCAGCAGCAGCAGGAGGAGGAGGAGGAGGAGGAGGAAGGGGAGGAAGGGGGCGGCCGGGCTGGCTGGCAGACAAAGGTGGCCTCGGCACGGCGGCGAGGAGGCAGCCCCGGAGGCCCACCTGGAAAGGAAAACAATGCGACATAAAAGCAGCTGGAGGGAGGAAGCAGCTTGTGGTACAACTAATAGTCGCAGAGGGCTGCTCACAGGGCAGCGGCTCTTTTGGAAGCGTTTCAATTCGCCCCCGCCGCCGAGCAGAGGAGGTCGGCGCCGGGATGCTCGGCAGCCCCAGCTCCTGCTCTGCCGCCCCCCCGAGCCTGGCTGAGCCCCGACCCGTCCCATCCCGGCCATCTGGCTCCCAGCACGGCCACCCCGACCTGCGGGATGAGGATGTGGTTAGGGAGATCCTGTTCCGACAGCGGCGCCTGTCCCCATCCTCAGCCCCTCCCCGCCGGCTCCTCGCTGGCACCAAATGTGCGGCCAGGCCCCTGGGGAAAGGCAGATGCAGTAAAGAGGTGGAAAAGCCTCCGGTTAGGATGGACGGTGAAATTAGCACGCTGAAGTCCTCCATCACCGGCTGTCCCGGTGCCGCATCCATGGCTCTCTCTTCGGAGCAGGATTCATGAGTTAGAGCCTTCCTGAGAGGAGAATGGGAACAAATCAATCAAAAACCCCTCACCACCGGCGGTGCTGAGGCAAAAGCCTTCACACCAACAGCTGCCTGGAGCAAAAACAGAACCTGAGGACAGCCAAAGCCCCCAGGGAGATCCAGGCACATCCCCAGCGATTGCTGACGTGAACGAACAGGGACAGGGAGGAACATTTCCAAATGGGAATTATCCACAGCTTGAGTTCATTTCTGGATTGGGAATAAACATCTAAATTGCGAGGCACCCGTGCAGAGCTCAGGAGGAAGAGGAAGAAGGTTGTCTGGGGTTGGTTTTTTTTCCCAGAAAAAATCAATGATTCACATGGATGCGGTCTGGACCTGCCACAATCGGATATTGGTAACTAATCCCCCAGGGTTCCCAACTGCTGTGCTTTATCCTTGCTCGGAGATAAGGTCAGAAGAGCTGGGAAACATCCCAAAACACAGCCCAGAGAGCCAGACGCTAATCGCTGATGAATGGAAGCCAAACACAAGTGAAACAAATACAAACAAATCGATAGAGACCTAAACCCAAAGGAGAGGAAGCAGCTCCCTCGGCTTCTGAGAGCGCTGAGACACCCGCCCCAAAACCGCAGTGAGGTGTGAACCTGTAGCTAGAAAGCAAAGGGGTTTTCCAAGGTGTTAAAAGCCCCTTCCCATGGCAGAGATTAAAATGCTGATATCCCAGGCAGGCAGCACTCTCTCCTACACTTTTTTTTTTCACCAGTGGTCTGGGATTCCCCCTTCTCCCCCTACACAAATGATTTAAAATTTCCCTTTCTTCCCTCTGAGCCACTGGCTTGGGATTTCCCTCTCCCCCCCTGGAGAACAGTGACCTGTCCCCCTGCCCATCAGATATCCTGCTACTCCTCCAGCAGCCTCTCCAAACACAAAGAGGGGGTGGAAAAAAAAAATCCCACTCCCAGCTATCAGCTTCTTCAGGCAGCTGTTTCCCTTGGAAAAAAAATGTGAGCCCACATCTTTCAGTGTGTTACGGTACTGGTTTGGGTTTCCTGGGGAAAAAATGCATTTATTTGTCTGGGGTTTCCTATCAGACAACCCTTCTATTGTAGTCCACTTTCCTGTATGGGTTTTTTTTCCTTCTCTGATATGCCTGCAATGGGTCCTGTGCCACTTCCAAAGGTTGCCTTGTGTCCGGGGCATAAAGAAGCAGGACAGCCCTGGGATGCAGCCATGCAAAGCCCATGTTTTTCCACTGGAGTGATTTCCTCCCCAGCAAACCCTGAGCTAAAGCAGGCAGCAGCCTCGGTGGCTGGGGCTAAACATCTCCAATTAATCACGGGAACTCCTCACGGAGCTCGGCAATCCGCAGGGCCCTTCGTCAGCCCAAAGGAGCCTCAGCCTAATTATTTTTCCCCCTCCCTCTCCCTGGATCTCAATGTCACCTTCCTCGTAGCCATGGGGCAAATGACAACCGCGGTCCCTGAGTGCAGATGTGTCCTCGGTGCGACTGCTTCCCTCTTAGGCGGGATGGGGAGGTGGCACAGGGATGCTCCTGAGCCATGGAGCTGCCTGCTCTGCTTCCAGCTCCCCCAGGGCCACTGGGGACCTTGGGACTTGCCAGAAAATCACACCACGGAGTAGCAGCCACCACTGAGAGCAGCAAGGGCAGAGCAGATCCTCTGCAAGGGCAGAGCAGATCCTCTCTGTGTCAAATCCTTCCTCCCAGCAAGGAAAACTGCGAAATGAAACATCTGTGCCTGCCAGCAGGCGCTGGCTGCCTCCATTCCCGCTGATCTCTGCCCCTTCCCTCTTGAAAGGCCTTTCCTTCAACCACCTTGTCCTTCTCGTGGTTTGTGGGGAGCCTGGAGCACAGAGAGAGCATCCATGGAATGCTCCAACAGGAATAACGAAGAAGTTTTTAGGGTTTAAAGGCTGCCTGGGAAAATTCCTTCTTATTTCACCCATAACAAGGACCCTGGCAGTCCAGCACCTCGCTGCTTCTGCAATTTAACAATCTCCTTTTGGATGCATGTAAAATCTCAGCATCCCTGGCATCCCAGGCCAGGCAATCCCAGCGATTCATCCTGCAGAAAGCAATTGCTGCCTTTCCTCAATTTCATTTCCCCCATTTCATTCACCAGAACACAGAATATTGAGCTCCAGAACAGCGTTTTGTCTCATCATCCCAGCCTTAATCCTCTTAAAACCACCACTGAAAATTTTCAACTATCACTAAAAATGAAAATGGGGAGGAAAACCACCAAAGCATCTGAAAGCCTTGACAGGCTTCTTCATTTAGCTGTAAAACCTTTTCAGGGGTGGGGAAGGGAAAGTCCCCTCTACTTTTATAAACCCAAACTCAAACCAATCCAGCTTTTCCCTGAGAAGAAAAGGCACTTCTTGCACACCAAATGCACATTCTTTGCACCAGGCTAGTAGGAATCACACACCCCCCGTGCATGTAGACACATGCCAAGAAGATTTTCCTGATAAAAGTTCCAGGGAGCTCAGCTCTTCCCTGTAGACAGCTGGGATTCTGATGAGTTGGCACTTTTCACAGTGCAGAAATGTTTCATCAGATCTTTCCTGACCAGTTCTGCAGCTGTGTGCTCTGCACCCAGCGCTCCTCTCCCAGCGGGAATCGCTTAGCTGAGCACGCTGAAGAACTCCCAAAAAATTCCTCGCTGCCTCCAAGCCCCAAATCAGAGCTTCCCATATGGAACAGCAAAAAAAACAACCTTGTTCTAAAAAAATACAAACTGCAGCATGGTTGGAGTGGCTTTCAGGTGAAAATCTAAATTATTTACTACATCACTTCAATTAATTTCTAGCATCAAAGACCAGGCTGTCTCTTTTATCCCTTGAAAGTTTACAACTTCCCTAGATTTTGGTAAAACTCTTTATTTTCAGCCCTCAATGGCTCTCTGAAGCTTTACACTTCTTTGCAAATGGACTCAACGCTCTTAGGCATTTTCCAACCTAAATGATTCTGTAAAAAATAATAAATAAACAAAAATTCAAACAAATGAATAAAGCGTTCACAGAATTTATTGAAGGATTTCTGAAATTCCTGGCTAGTAATTCTATGAGGCTACAGGACGTTTTCCATTCCCAGTGCAGCAAAGGTTTCAGGCACAGGTGGAAGTCATGGGAGGATCATGAGGTTTTTGGGGAGCACAAGGTCTTTGTGGGACAGGGAGAGACAAACTGGACCAGCAACTCCTTGGAACTCTGTTCCTGGAGGGAACCTCCCATGCTAAGCACACATTTGGCAAGGACACCCCAAATCCTGCCGGCGTGGGAAAGTCATCCCAAACTCAGCAAGGAAGGGCCAGCAAATGCCAGCCCTAAAGCTGCCACCTGTTGTTCCACTCCTGGCGTGGGGCTGGCTGGAGCAGGGGGTGGATTTCTCACCCCAAGAAGTGCAGAAACCGGTTCAGCGTGTGCCACAGCCTTCCCAGCCCAGGGTGAGCGTGAGGAAAGGTGCTGGCATTGCAAAAGCCGGGTATCCCGTTCCCATGCTGAGGAGGCACCTCTGCAGATGGGGTTTGTTCCCCTTCCCTGCCTCTGCTCGGGATGCTGGACCACTGGCACCTTTGGGAAGCTCAGGCCAGGATGTGCTCTTTGCTTAAAATCTGGGGGATTCCTCCTGGCCAAGACTCTGCTAAATCAACCCACGTGGAAGAGAGGCAGGGACATCCCTCTGCTGCTTTCCCAAAGCTCTGCAAGCATCATCCCCCTCCTGCCAGCTGCTGCAAGCCCAGGGCTACCTGTGCTCAGCTACTAAAGAGCCCAGAGATTTAAAAGAGGTGGGAATGAGGGCAGAAGGGATCCTCACCCGGGAATGGACCACATCCAAGGCACACAGAGCTGTTCTCACCCCAAGGCAGGAGGAAGGAAGCGGTGGCTGTGCCTTGCCGGGGCAGGAAGGGCAGCAGGAGCCGAGCAGACTGCCTGTCGCTCCCTCCTGCTTCCTCCCACTCCGGCTGGGAACTCTGCCTGAGCCGCTCCTGTGGCAGGGACACAGCCCCACAGCGCCCAGCTTTGTGTTTCAGTCCAGGAATCCGCGTGATGGAGGCCGGCTGGCTGCTTTGTATGAGGTTTTAAAGACTGCAAATCCTGTGAGAAGGCAAGAGTTTACTGTCATGGGTATAAAGCACAAAATTTCTTCCACACAGAAGAGTCTGACGTGAGCAATGCTGCTGCTAACTGCAGGTGTGTGAGGAGATGGTGCTTGAACTCCTTACCTCACTTCCTCTCCTCACTGAGGAGTTCTCAGTGCTTTAGTTCTCTAGTTTAGAGCTTTTAGTTCTCTAAAATAACAAATTAGTATCTTGAATCCAGATAACACAAGGAATGGGACACACACCACCTTCTGCATGGTCTTGCTGGTGGCACAGTGATGCTGAGCACCGTGGGAAGGCATTACAGGGGAAGATGTAACCACCCCTGTCATTATAGGGCTGCTGAGAGCCGGGCATTGGGGTGGGCGATCCTGCAGCTCTGTTCGGCCCAGGTGAGACCACATTTGGAGCGCTGTGGGCTCTGAAGAAGGGATGCCAAGAAGATGGAGCCACACTCTGCTCGGTGGTGCCAACCACCAGGACATGGGAGGCAAGGGGCAGGAACCCATGGACAGAAGTTCCACCTGAAAACAAGGAACTTTTTCACCGTACGAGTGGCCAGGCAGGGGCACAGATTGCCCAGAGGGGTCGCGGAGTCTCCCTCCCTGGAGATATCCCAGACCCGTCTGGACACAGCCCTGCGCCATGTGCTCTGGGATGAGAAGGGAGGTGGCACCAGGAGACTCGCCGTGCTCCCTTCCGGCCTGACCCGTCCTGCGTGTGATTCAGCGGGTGAGAGGGACACCGGGATCCCCAGCGCTGCGGGAAGAGCTGCCCGAGCTTCCCTGGAAGAGCCCGGACAGCGCCCAGACCCCTCAGCGCGCCCCGCCGCCGCCATGCTGGGATGACGTCACCCGGCCACGCCCCCTCCTGGCGCGCGGCGGGGGCGTGGCCGGCTGAGGGCGCTGTTTGGGGCGTGGCCTGGCG